AAACAAAAGATGCACATCTATACACATACACACACTCCTCGGGAAAAACTGTCAAAAAAAAGGGCAGCTATTAATCTCTGTTAGTCTCACATCCTGTTGTGGTTGCCTTCACTCCAAACACCTCAATGGAGGGGCCACAGGTCAGAGTATCACTAACTTAATGGCCTGCAAACACAGTGCCAAGCAGTCGTTAGATTCCTGCTCTAAGCTCCGGTGGCGGCGGCTCTAAATGCTGCAGCGACGGCTGTTCAAGACGACGTGTCACAGGGGTCACAGCAGCTATGAGCCACTCTCCTCTCACAGGTGTCGGGGGAACAGGCGAGACACGGGTGTTTGTGTGTCCTCACATCCCCCTCCTCCCATCCGCCTCCTTTGCTTTGCAGCCACTTCAAGTCCCCTCCTGTCTCCAAGCTGGCAGGTGTGCAGGTGCTTGTTAGTGTAGGTCCCATAGGGAGAGAGTGGAAGTGAACATTGTGTGTTTGGCAAATGGTATGGTAAAGAAAAKACGAGGGGTAGGAGAGACAAACGCTAAATATTGGGAGTCCCTCTGGGAGGTTGGTGAGGGGATGTGATCAGACAACCAGAACCACAAAGACCACTTTCATGTATGTCCACGGCCACACCAAAACAAATTTTACCATAAATTCCAATTGTCTTTTTAAATTATTCTGTTTCATCACAGTTCTTTTAGTCTCCATAAAATGCTGGACCACTATCATAAGAAATTTGAATCTGGAAAATCATTAAAAAATGCTTAAGAACCCTGTAAAATGTTCAATTTAAACTTCATTGTAAGGTTTAGAGTGCTTTTCACTTCCCTTCTGCCCTGTTAATAACTTATTTCACAATAAAATATCTGCTGAAGTCATCTTTAAAAGCTGAAATAAATGCTAATAAAAAAAACTGATTCAGTTCTCAGACTTGAATATTTGTTTACACACTTGTAATTTTGCCACCTCATGGTGCTGTGGAACATTCCCTTAAATGRCTGTGAGTTACACAATGAGTTGTGTAACTRGCAAATTCATGAGAAKTTGCATTTTCTGCAAAAATGCAACGTGAAAGCTTAACGCTGAAAGAATTTGGCTGAAAGCTGCTGAAGAAGCTGAAAAAGGTTTAATAACAGAGCTCACGGGATTCAATTCAATTCAATTCAAAAATACTTTATTGATSCCAGAGGGAAATTAGGTAATGGAAAAGGTAAAGGAAATTAGGGATGTCGTGTGAGTTAAATTTGAACAGGTGACTTTTGCCCAAAGCTGGGAAACAAGTAAAAAAAATCAGAAGAAAAGTAGCAAATGTGTCAAAGACTGAACAGAGCGGAAATGTGGGAAAGGGTAAATATTTGCAAAAATGTAGCTATAAAAGCAGAAAAAGTTTCAACTACCAGAAAGAGGGCGTGCAAGAAGCAAAAAAAAAAAGTGAATTTACGAACAAAATGTTTTTCAAAAGAATAATGCTGAAATTTAGGTTTAAAAARGGTAAAACATGAGAAAAAATGACTAACATGTGACCATGACCTTTTATTTTCTAACTTTGAATCTATCATTGAAAAAAGCATGTTTGCTGAATAAAGCASTAAGAAACTGAAATTATCATTAAAAGGTGAATTTAACTGAAAAAGGAAAATTTAGCCAAAAATAGTTGAAAAC